TACTAGCCCAATGCTCTCCCAATGCCTTTGCCAAAGGTCATAGGTTCGAATTCCACCGTGGCCAGGCATATTTTTCAAGCCTGCCCGGTGTGGATATACAGTCAGAGTAACATCACACAATATGGATTCTTGCACTTCACTTGGTGGAATTAATATTAGAATGTTAGGGTTAGTAATCCAAGTGAGAATATATACATTTTAAGACCTAACCAGGAACGACTGTGAAAAATGCAGCACAAGGTCCTCTGGTAGGAAATGAACCTACGGCCCTGCAATTCCTACCAGAGGACCTTGTGCTGCATTTTTCACAGTCGTTCCTGGTTAGGTCTTAAAATGTATATATTCTCACTTGGATTACTAACCCTAACATAATTTTCTAATAACATCACACAAGCATCTTATGCACCAGAGTACATTACACCAACACAGCATATTTTTTTAACAACTGACCCCTGGAGGGTGACTACCTCACAGGTGTTTGTTGTGCATGAATATCGATGTTGTTGTGGATGATGTCATCCTGATCCTAATCCTGACATTAAAACCTAATCCCGAATCTAAAACTGCAACAAAATCCCATGAGTTAGTCAAGGCCAGCTGTGAATTTGATGTCATCATGATGTTACTCAAATTACACAAAGACATTGTAGGAGGCCTCATATTAATGATCCCAAAATTTAATCTCCAGTTCTTACCTTAAAACCAACTCTAGTTCTATTGGTTACCCTGACTAATTCTAGTAATTATCCTTTCGGCACAAAGTTATATGAAACGTGACCCATGATTATACAAGCAAAAGGAGGGAAAACATTTGGGAAAACAAATGGTTCCTTGCTATTTCTCAAATGGCAAGGCATAACATTTGTTCTCCCGATAATTTGAGCGAAGTTTGCAAAGTATAATCACATAATTACTGTGTGGTGTAAAGAAGTTGACATTCTGGTTAAAAGTTTCAATTGAATATTTACAAAATAATATAAAATAACCATTGATACTTGAATGCTTAAATTCTTTCAGTACTTCATTGTCTCTTTAATGCATGTTCTATTGCGTTAATCGGGAATGAGAGTTTGTCTGCTCACTTGAGATGCCTCACCAGTATTGAACTGTTTGAGAATGCCAAATACTATGCTAACCACTCCTTCATTGAGTCCCAGCATAAAAACGTAATAGCGTTCACTACACTTAAAAATGCCTTTGCCATGTGTGTATCTGATGCAGCTCTTACTTTTTTCGAGAATTGTAATGAAATGCAGCAGTTTTAGAAGAAGCAAAGGAAGCTGCAAAAATGACACATTCTCATCCATGGTGTGCATGTTTGCCTTGTCCACAGTAATTCAGTGTGCCATTCAGTCATTCTACCCACTCACCAATGATACTGTAGCGAAAGAACATTGGGATTCCTTGGATTCAATTGTACAATACAGTATATCCACGGGATTATCTTGATGGCAGTGCAATTGAATATGTCCATATCTTTCATTGTGCTGCGATGCCACCGTCTTGTTTGGTTGATCGAAGAATTCTATCTACCAAAAATCATTTTGTTACCTTGTGCAAACCAGTTAAGGCATTTCAGCCACGAGACCATTATTTTAATGCACACCTTCCAAACTTATTGAAGTCTGCGATGCCAGTTCATCCTAAAGTTCCTCCTAAAGTTTCTACTAAAGTTTTTTCTGCTCCTTCCTCTACACAAGTGACTACATTTACTAAAAAGCAGACGACTGGTCCAAAATGAAAACAAATTAGCTTAGATCGATGAGCTTCTTGTGAAACGAGCGTGCAACACACAAGAAACTGTAGACAGTGAAATCAAATTTCCCAGCACTAGTAAAGGAATTTCATCTGTAACTCCCAACACTGGTCCTACTTCAGAAAAATATAACATCAAAACACAACGAAGTTCCACCAATTCGTGGCCAGATGATATCTAAACTACGTAAATCTGGTGTCCAGTCTTCCTGATTCCAAAAAGTACAAAATTCTGTGCAATCATTGCCATTGGAAACCTGGTTCTGACACGAAAATATTGGTAGACGTTTCCGGTTGGCATGGTTATCGCGATTTCCATGGTTGGCTTACTCTGCTGTGGCAAACGGTGGTTTTTGCGTCACTTGTGTTCTTTTTGGCAGTGAGCTCCAACGATTGATGACCAGTGCTCTTCCTCCAAGTGCTTCTGCTGTCCAGAAACTATGTCAGCATGGTGAAAAATCCAATGTTCACACAACGGTAACTCTCCGTGCTACACAGTTTAAGCGAATGATCGAGAATAAGACACTTGGTATCGATGTGCAGCTGAAAAAACCCACCCCGTAAAAGACCTACGTTGCAACTGAAACGCCAAGATGATTGAGTTCGATGTACAGCCCGAATTGGATATTTTTTGCTACGAAGAACCTGAAATACACAGGAACAGTACGTGCGGTACAGAATTGTGGTTTTATGTAAGTACAGTGATTTTGTAACATTCTAATGTTGTAACGTTCGCTGAAGAACATGGTATGTTGTTTAAATATTTGACTTATTTAGTGCGTTTCGTTATTTGCTGTCTAAAATATGGCGTAATTAATGACGAATTATATGATAGAATTCGATGCTCAGAACTCAGGAAATGGCATTTCCGGGGTTCAAATTTCAAAAATTTTCCGGGGGGGGGAATGCCCCCGGACCCCCCTAATTATGCTCGGTTTTGGAGTGCGCCACGGTCAGGGTTTAGGCTGGATCCGCGCCTGGCATATATTAGAAAAAGGAGACCTTTAGAAGTCAACCATTGTTATAATTTGAATCCTGGAGCACTTTGCTAAGCACATAGCAGATTGTTCCCAGGAGCAGACAATCTTTTGTTTAAACGTTATTTCAAATTCTAAAGGTCTCCTTTTTCTATTGCAATTGCACATATGCTGAAACGTAGTGCGTGAAATATTGATGGCAATATTTCACGCACTACGTTTCAGCATATGTGCAATTGAAAAGGCATTCAAATTTTAATAATATGCTTGATTTGTAAAGGTCTCCTTTTTTGATACACCCTGTAGATTTCCTATCATTTTGATCGCATTTGATTTTTATATCAAATTGCGTGGACTTGAAATCTAATCCAGTCCTCATAGTCGGATTTGAAATACTAAATGAACTTGTGGTTACAGCTCGACAACTGGACTCTGTAGCCCAGTTGGTCAGAGCGGTCAGGGCTGCTAATATAGTTGCATTTTTTCGAAGAAAAAAGACTTCATTTAGCCCTACATTTCTTTATTTTTCAGCTGATTTCATCGCCGCATGTTCAAACGTGGTCAGTGTGTGGATTCCAGCGGGGAGTGACACCGCTGCATGCAAAACAGCAGGATTTCTGATCATTTTCGCAACCACGGCATCATTTTTCTGGACTTCCTGCCTAGCTATCCACTTGTATCTTATAATCATGAATAAAAGTCACCTGATTAGCCACAAGAAAAAGATGCTGATATTCCACATAATCAGTTGGGGTCTGCCTCTACTCTTTGCCTTCGTCGCTCTGGGTTGTGATGCGCTCGGGCAATCGCCTGAGAACAAAAATGAAAGTTATATCAAGCTTACAACAGGCGGATGGTGTTGGATTAAAAATTTTCACAACAAGAAGAAGAATATCGCATGGACGATGATGACTTCGAAGATTTGGGAGTTGTCTTCCTATCTCCTTATTACTGTCTTGTGTATTTTAATTTTCATTCAACTGCGTTTCAAGGTAGGCATGTAGGTACAAGGATAGGGGGAGGGGGTGATAGGCCTCCTTCAATGGGGATGGAGGGAGCTGCTAGGCCAGCTTCAATGGGGAGAGGGGGTGCTAGGCCTCTTTCAATGGGGGTGAGGTAAACTTTCACAATAAAAACTGTCAGATATGTCAACTATACTCGATTGTTTTTAACTACACAGACTTCTATATTGGGGTCCGGGGGCACGCTCCCAGTCTCTGAAATTAAATGGCATTTCCTCCGTTCTGAATGACTACCTCAACGATTGGAATTGATCCTAACCACCACCAACTCAATTTTTGCCAAATGAATGCAACAATTTGCCGACTCGTTCATGAATTG